TACATATATATATAGTTTTCTAAACTTAATAGAAATTTAGAATAATGTTCTCTGCTTTGGAGCTTGCACTCAGTTATGTTGAATGTGATTTTGTCCCATAGAATTCATTGCACTCGGTCTTATTTGTATATTTCTCTCCCAAGAGGGTGTTTGAGAGAGCGTAAAAAGCAAGTTTGTGTTAAGTAAATTCTCCTTTCACAAATTCAAAATTTTGTTGGAAAGAAATTTGAAAATTAACTTTTAAAGTAGCATTTTAGCAAGTTTTGAAAAAGTTACACATCCAAATTTTTTCAAAACTTGCTAAAAAGTTACCTTAAAAGTTTATCTTTGAATTTCTTTCCAACAAATTTTTAAATCTATGAGAGAAGAATTTGCTTAAAGCAAATTTGTTTTTTAAGCTCTCCCAAACACCCTCTTAGTCTAAATGAAATGAGCTGACTATGGTTTTCATGGTATAATTTCCTTTCTGTTTCAGACATCATTTCTTGAATTTGGCTTCAAGTCTTCTTGGTCTCAAGAAAAAAAAATAAAAGTAAAAATATGTTAATAAGATTATTTGTTTACTTATTTGCTTTTCAATTTATCTCTAATTTTAAAGTAAGCAACCATGATTTATATATGAAGGATTGTGAGGTCTAGATATGTCCTTCCTCACTCCCAAGTCCTAACCATACTTCCAAACCTTGATTTGACTTAACCATACTTTCAAACCTTGATATCTCATAGACTGGTGGTGACTTATTCCACCATTATTTGGGTAGGTATTGACTCTAATTTTTTTAATTTTACACTTAATTTTCTATTTTGAAATTTAAGTGGTTGTCAACAGTTCCATATATCAAACAACCAGCAGGTCAGTGCAATAACTGTTATTAGAAGCAAATTTTTTCCATTTGTCCTCTAAATTAGGGCAATGTATAAACTGAGTAAAACACGGAATCAAAACAAATCAAGCCAGTGCAAACGAAACTTGTCATTCATCCTTCAATGGGCAAAAGTCCCGAAGTTGAGCTCCTTGAAATGCCCCCCGGTCTATTGTAGTTCATTTTGAATTTCCAACCACGCATCATGCAAGTATAAGCCAACTATTGCATATTTTCCCAATATTCCGGATTGTTGATTTAGTAAATAGCCAACTCTAGTTCTCTCAACACTTCCCAAATATCTATCAAAGCAGAGGCTAACCGACCAATTTTTATTTGAAACAAAGAAATTTATATCATGTCCTTGCATTGTTAATTAAGATTGTTACTAGATTAAAATAAAAATATAAACTCTCCTTCAACTAGGGGATTTATAAAGTGTAATTATTACAAATTTCAGACTTTAGCACAATTATTATAAGTTTCATTTTGTAGTACAATTATTTAGAAAATATTAAAAAAAAGTGTAGAATAAAAAGAATTTTCATCATTCTAATTCAGAGATTACTGGTAATTCTCTGTGAATTTGTCTCCTAGGGATATTGGCACTTGTCAGCGCTCCATCTGCATGGCCAAAGAGATTTGGTGGCACTGCCAAACTGTCTGCTTCTCCTTCCAACATGTGAACCACAGATTTCATTGATGGTTGGTCTGTTGGGTACCACTGGATGCACCAAAGTCCAACAATTGTAAGTTTTCTTGCTATCTTGTTATGCCTCTCATTTTCTGTTCTAATCCCCAGCACTTCTCCTCTATACAAGCAATTATACGCCCATTCTGGGACATAAACTTGGCTTGTATTCCGCACTGTGGTATCAACATTCTTCCTCCCTCCTACCATTTCCAACAATAGCATTCCAAAACTATAAACATCTGATTTATATGAGACCTTTCCAAAGTTCCTAGACAGTACCTCAGGCTCAGGGGCAATGTATCCCATTGTTCCTCTAGCTTCTGTCATAGAAACAGCACTTTGTTCCTTGGAACACAGCTTTGCTAGACCAAAGTCGGAGATCTTAGGATTGAAGTTATGGTCTAGCAAGATATTGTGAGGCTTGATGTCAAAATGAAGGATTTGTTGATCACAACCTTGGTGCAGGTACTCAATTCCTTTCGCTATTCCTATTGCAATATCTTGAAGATTCTCCCAACGGAGGGAACGATTTTGGTCCCTAGTTGCAAAGATAAACTTCTCCAATGATTCATCTGGCATGTACTCGTAAACAAGAGCTCTTTTATTTCCATCTGCACAAAATCCAATCAAGCGAGTGACATTGACATGATGGATTCGGCACATTGATCCAACTTCATTAATGAATTCTTCTCCAGTTATTTTGAAATTGTTGAGGACCTTAACAGCAACCAAAACATCATTGGAAAGCCTTCCCTTGAAAACAGTTCCATAAGCACCTTCTCCTAGTTTGTCCTTGAACTGATCTGTTATTCTCTTGATATCAGCATAAGAATATCTTGAGGGCTTGAGTGCTTTGTAATCCTCCAGAAATTTCACAATCTTGAGTTGGCCCTCTTTCTTTGATCTATATGAGTGGTGCACACGGTAAAGTCCAATGAGGATTATTACAAATAGACCGAAACCTAGGATTATGCCCGCAACCAATAGCATTTTCCGCATAACTGCAAAACGTTTCAACAATCAGCAGCTTGATGTGTTTATCAAATCAAAATTAAATAAATAAATAAATAAAAGGAAGAAAGAAAGAAAGAAAGAAAGAAAGAAAGAAAGAGAGAGACACCATATAAAAGCAAGTCAAAACCAAAGTACCAAGAGAACAAACACTAGAGCAATTGAACAACTAAAGTCAGGAAAAATTTTAACAACTTAAAACAAGGCAAAATTAAAACAGCTAAATTAGTGAGTATTGCAATGAGTATTCATAACATTGTGGAATAGTTAAAAGTATAAGGTTGTAGTTTTTAAGTCAAAACTGGCTAAAAAGCGTCAGTTTGTTTGGGATTGACCAAAATATCATTCATGAATCCACATCCGAGTCATGATAACATTTATGTAAAAGCATACCTCTTTGATTCTTGGTGGTACCATAACACTCTGTGTCATCCTGTGTCCTATTATTATTCTTCAGCTTGCATTTGCTGCCTACTTCTTCACATTTACTACAATCTGGTTGGGACCAACTCAATTGAACATCCCGTCTGGTAATACAACGTATCTTCGTATACCACTGTCTCCGATATGTTGAGTAGCGTTCTCCTACAACTTATCAAGTTAAAAGCCGATGTAGAATCGGAAGGAAAAGCTAGAACTTGGAAGCCTGGGACGCTTAAGCAAGGAATCTCGTAAAATTCATAATTAATACCCACAGTTGCTTCCCTTGAACAATTGAAAAGACTGTACTTTGACTCGGCAGAATTAAACCGGCAGGGAGTTAGTCTCAAGCACTGGAAGGGAGATGCAGATAAATTGAGATTGGGAAGTTGCAAGGGAAGGCAAACCTGAGGATCATATAACCGAATCCTCTGTGCTTTGTAATCTATACGCTTCACGAACAACTCTACATTCCGTGGCAGCTCGAGCACAATCTGCTTTTCTTCGCAGGAGAGTTCAAACCCATTATAGCCGCAGTGTTCCGGTTACTGTCCTTTTAATTGGAACGGGAACCGGATGGTATGTTGGTATGCTTTCAAGGATTTATCCCCATTTAATCAGTTAATTAATTAATTTCAGTGTATATGATGTACACGCAATATTAGGGGATGCAATGTGGGATCTAGTGTTCAACTTTCTATATAATGAGACTTGAGAATAGAATTTTTGTAGGGGAAGAGCAAGCATTTTCAGTTTCTATGAGGACGAAGTACCTGAAGCGGAAAGTGCAAGGCTCTTCCAAAACTTGCATCCGGTAATCATGTACTTGCTAGGGAGCTTGAAGGGAAAACCGTTTTTGTCTTTCTTTTGATCCGACAATAGTTGTTCCTTTCTCGAACCTCTCTCGCATGTGTTTATGTTTGATTTTGAAACTTTTAATTTGCGCTTGGGCAATTAGAAAAAGTATGTGAAGATAGAAAGATATACATATATGTTGGCTGGGTTTTCTGGTTTTACATTGCTGTCACAGAAATTTGG